AGGCTGTGGTTCGATGAGGGCTGATTTTGGGGAGGTTGTGGTAAGACCACAGCCCTGACGTCTGCTCTGTTCTCTCCTGCAGCTCCGCAATGGTGGATGGGGCCATGGTGCTGCCCCTGCTGCTGCTGCTGCTGGTGCTGCCCTGCCCCGCTCTGCAAGGTGAGTGTGTGGTGTTTGATGGCTCCAGTGAGCGCTTCGGACACGGCAGTGGCTCTACCATAGACAGTTCGTGCAGCTGTGTGCACGTAAGGGTTTTCTGACATCCCATGCATTTAGGATTTGCCTCAGCAAACTGGGAGAAGGGCATTTCTGCTGCCATGGAAAGGCAGGTTATGGTGCCTTTGAAGGTCTTTGGGAGATGATGATCTGAAACATGGGTACTGCTGCTCTGCAAAACATCGAATAAAGGTTTTCTGTGAGTAACGTGGTTTTCTCAGTTTTAAAGTTTAGGTGACTTGGGAGGTGTTACCTAGCGTGAGTTATGGCACATCTGTCTTCTTTTGTATTTACCTTGTGAGATGTCTCACTGAAATACTCTGCTGAAGTGCGTTTATTTTCCAGTGTTGATGCAAATAATAAGAGGCAGAGCGTATTAACTGGAACATGAGAGAGGATGGTGGAGGGTGAAGACTGAAAATGCTCAGAGGGCTGGTGCTTGACTGCATGTCTATGAATAGGAAATTGAGACAAAGGGTGAAAAAGGAGGAGCGCTGATAGTGGAAACACATTAAACTGCTAATGTCATGGACACAATGTTATCTGGAAATAAGGTTGGTAGCAGTTACCACACTGTACCTTCTTATCACTCCTGAAGTGCAGCTGTCTGCTTCTGGAAAGTGGTTTATTTCAGCTTTCAGAGCTGCTTACATTAAAAATCTTCAGGGTAAACCACCTGCCTTTCACAGCCTTACCATGGAGAGCAGTGGATGGAGGAGAGGAACGTGTGGGAAAGATGGATGTGCTCAAATCTCAGTTATTTGACCTGACTCGGCATAAAAAAGGAAAGGTTCTAGGGCTTAAATGTTACAGAATCATGTCTCTTCCCTGCTTGAAAGTCCAGAAGATCCTTTTATTATTCGATACTTGCTGAGCAGTCACTCAGTTAACACAGGCATATTCTCAAGTCGAAGGTAGTTGAAGAAGCTGCGTTGCTGTAGTGCCAGTAAGAAAAGGTGGCCAAGTTGTACTTGCTGTTTTGGTGGGAGATGAATTGCTCTGTTAACTGTGAAGGGATCACCTCAGAGGTGAGACGTGTTACCAGGGCCAGGCAGGGAGGTGATGGAGGTAACTTTAAGCCTGGCTTCTTGCCTGCCTGCATTGCCCAATGCTGCACACGTTGCCGTCCTGAGACGCTTCCTCTGAGCCTGCGTTGTGGTGGATCTGCTTCAGCCACAGCCCTGTGATCACGATGGTGTTCCCTGGTCACGTCATAATGTTTTCTTTCTTTTTTTAAAAAAAGTTCCTCAATATTAGCGCAGTTATCACTTGGTATATATATGACTGGGAGGGTGTGCACCAGTACTTGAAATCCATGTGACAGATGCTGTCTGATTGCAGGATTCTTTCCC